CAGTCATAGAATTCTAATTCCTTTCACAGTGGCATTCCTTTAACTAGCATGATATTCCATGTTATGGATATATACCACATTTTATTTTGCCAGATCACTACAAATAGCCTTTTAGGTTGAATCCAGTGTTTTGCTGCTTCCAAATAATACTGCATCAAAATAGCACTGGTAGCCATTTATAAGGGTTATTCCAAGGCACCATTTATGCCTCTAAACTGTAATAATTAAATCAAAGTGATGCTGGTGAGAACAATCAGACGACTTCTGACAGTCAGACACTGTGACAGAACAGATGGCCTAGAGACAGTGATACCTTTAAAAATGAAGTAATCAGGCCGGGCGCAGTGGCTCACGCCTGTAATCCTAGCACTCTGGGAGGCCGAGGCAGGAGGATTGCTTGAGCTCAGGAGTTTGAGACCAGCCTGAGCAAGCGCGAGACCCCCGTCTCTACTATAAATAGAAAGAAATTAGCCAAACAACTAAATATAGAAAAAATTAGCTGGGCATGGTGGCGCGTGCCTGTAGTCCCAGCTACCCGGGAGGCTGAGACAGGAGGATCACTTGAGCCCAGGAGTTTGAAGTTGCTGTGAGCTAGGCTGATGCCACAGCACTCTAGCCCAGGCAAGAGAGTGAGACTTTGTCTCCAAAAAAAAAAAAAAAAATGAAGTAATCAAAAATCCTTAGGAAGAGAGTACTGTGAAAGACCCATATACCTCTGGGAATTTACAATGTTACAGCATTCCAAATCAGTAGGGAAAGGATAGACTCTTCAGTAATGAATATTAGGAAAAGTTATATATTTTGGGAAAACTATAAAAATACCAAGAAATAATATACATCATTTTTATAGTATTGGTTTGGGAGCATCTTCCTTAAGCATGACATGAAAGCTACACAAAGGAAAAAATTGACAGATTTGTCTGTGATATTGGGATATATACACACATACAGTCTTTGACACATTTAAATGGCAAAAATATTTCTGATATGCAAAAAAACTAATAATTAGTAGAAAACAGTAAGAAGCAGCAAACCTAGTAGTAGATGGAACAAAAATAGTCATATAAGAAAAGATATATGACCAGTGACTGTATGAAAACATGTTCAATTTCACACAAATTCAAATGAAAATGTCATTGCATGTTATATTGGCCCCCCCCAAAACTTCTTTTTTCCTTCAAAAAGATGTTTTATCCAGTGTTGTTGAAGGTGTGGAAGAATGAACTTTTTACCTTTTTGTTGGGAGTACAAGTTAAAATAGGTCTTTCTGAGGTAGATTTGGCTCTATCTCATCAAAGTTGTAATAAGCAACTCCTTTCACTAAATAGTGCTGTGAGACTGGTTAAATTATGGTACACAACAGATTATAGAATCTCATGTGGATACATAAAAGAGGTGGGTATGTACTGACATGAAAAGATGCCATGGTAAGTGAGAAAAGCAAGGTACAGAGCAATGTGCATCTCACCTTTGTCAAAATAGATTCAGTAAATGCATGTTATATATTCATATACATATATTTATATAATATATATGTTGAGTTTTAAAGTTAGTTTTTTAATTTGTGTGAATATGTACATAAAAAGATTGGGAGGTATATGCACTCCTTCAGAGGATACTCTTGGAATTGGGTGGGGGAAGGTGGTAAGGGAATAATGCTCATATCTTTATATAGTTTGGTTTTTATAAGTATACAAAGGAAATGGTACCACAAAATTTAATTACTTGGGAAAGAATATAAATTATCAGTTCATAACAAATTCTAGGTGGATAAAGGAATTAAAATATAAAGTGTCTAAATTTTTAAACTTAAAAATTGAAGGAAAAGCTATGCAACTAATCATATAAAACATTTAAAATCTTAACACTAAAATAACACCCTAGGGGAAATATTTGCCCAAAAATGAGATCACTAAGAAGCAACTCAAAATTAATGGGCAAAGGACAAGAGCTGAAATATAAATGGCCAATAAACACATTTTTGAAATGTTAAAACATCACTAACAAAGAAATACAAACCACACCTAAAACCCATCTTTTTTACCAAATTTTCAAATATTTCAAAATGAGTATCCCAGTGCTGGCCAGAGCATGAGGCATGATAAACATATTTACACGCTGCTTGTGAGATTGGAAATTGGTATAGCGTGTGTGTGTGGGGGGGGGTAATTTGGCAACTTACTAAGAGCCTTAAAAGTGTTAGGCTGCTTGACCCACTAAATCTGCTTCTGGGAGTCTTAGCAATGATAGGAAATGAAGGCAAAAAATGTTTACACAAAATGTTTTAATTGATTATTAAAGAATAAATCGGGAGGAGCACACCAGATGTTTCCAGAGAATGGGTAATTAAGGTATGCCCATTTGATGGGATATCTATAATACAACTCAAAATGGATGCATATTATAACCTTAACATGGGATAATGATTAGTTGTAATCGTAAATTGTTTTTAAAAAGGAAAGACCTAAGATCTGATAACTAGTGTGAGCTCACTTCTATTGAAATGTATTATTTATACAGAGATTAAGTTAATTATTATAAAACTAAGGATAGAAGATTGAGACAAATGTGTTTTCTCAATTTCTGGCTTTCCCTAGAGCTGACTTGTAGGGAACAGATGAGAAAATAGTTGGTGATTATTGTTCCTGTTTTGTGCCCTTGTTTTCTCCATGTGTTGAATGACACTCTCCCTTTGACTCACTATTGTATACCCACTAGGGACCTAAGTACTGCTGTGAAAGACAAAAGATAGGTATTACACAAGCCCCATGGCAAATTGATGTGAATTATGTGGTTCCAAAAGCAAGACTAACGCATGAAACATTTAAATAACTAAATCCTAAGCTCCAGAGTACTAATGGCAGTTTCATGTGGTATTGGAGATGGGAGAGACATGTAAGCTAGGTAGTTGGAGAACAGTTAAAGAGAGGAGGTGGGACTTGACTTCCCTGGTATTTAGATGAGGGAGAGAAAGGGAGGGAGAGTAGGTATACTAAGTAAACAATATTAATAACAGCCTGAAACTCAAGAGAGAAACTGGCAGATTCAAAGTTTAAACAGCTCAAAAATTATATATGTGTCTGGGAGGCTGAGGCAGGCGGATCATTTGAGCTCAGGAGTTCGAGAACAGCCTGAGCAATAGCAAGACCCTGTCTCTACTAAAGATAGAAAGAAATTAGCTGGGCCTGGTGGCGCATGCCTGTAGTCCCAGCTTCTTGGGAGGCTGAGACAGGAGGATCGCTTGAGTCCAGGAGTTCGAGGTGGTTGTGAGCTAGGCTGACGCCACGGCACTCTAGCCTGGGCAACAGAGTGAGACTCTGTCTCAAAAAAAAATTATATATATGTAACGCCAACTTTTTAAATGAAGAGTGTGCACAGCACATGTGTCACAGATCCATAGAGCCATGTTATGCCTCTGGGAAGGAAGGTCAGAAGCACAATGACAATAAAGCTATCCACAACTCGTATTACAAGTAGAAGGCAGATGTCAAAAGAAAGGATATTCCCTTTCTTTGATGTCTGACTCCTCAGAGCAGTGGTTGCTTGCTGGATGTGTGGGACACCCAGATAAAAATAAAAGTCTCTGGCCAGGCACAGTGGCTCACGCCTGTAATCCTAGGAGTCTGGGAGGCTGAGGCGGTCAGATCGTTTGAGCTCAGGAGTTCAAGACCAGCCTGAGCAAGAGTGAGACCCCGTCTCTATTAAAAATAGAAAGAAATTAGCTGGACAACTAAAAATATATATATATAAAAAAATTAGCCGGGCATGGTGGCGCATGGCTGTAGTCCCAGCTACTCGGGAAGCTGAGGCAAGAGGATCGCTTGAGCCCAGGAGTTTGAGGTTGCTGTGAGCTAGGCTGACGCCACGGCACTCACTCTAGCTGGGGCAACAAAGCGAGACTCTATCTCAAAAAAAAAAAAAAGTCTCTGAGGCTGTTTAGAAAGATTGCTTCCCTGGCTTAATTCAGTCTGGGCACCCAGGCCTTAACTAATGGTGCAGGGATTTTCTTCTGTAGTAATAAATGGTTTTATAGAATAAATGACTCATTCAACTTTTGGCTTTACATGAATGATAGAAGAATTTGTAGAGAATGACTAAACACCCACTGTAATGAGAACCAGGTAGAATTCTTTTTTGTAGTTTTCTTATGCTTGAATATATATGGTCAATACCAGTGATATACAGCATGTTCAGCTGTCATTCTCAAGTTCCTCCTCACTAAGCAATTGCTTATGACCAGGGTGGCTTCCAAAATAGTTTTGTCCAGCCTGACTCTACTTCAATGTTTTACAGTCTGGTTGGCTCTGGGCCATATTACATTGTTTAGTTTGTACTTTTAACAAGTCCCTTTGTTTTATGAAAATTCTGCACTCTATAAACCCCAAGATGAGCTTTCTGGATTTTACTCATATAGGTTGAGCATCCGTAATCCAAAATGCACCAAAATTTGAAATTTTTTGAGTGCCCCTGACATGACACCACAAGTAGAAAAAATTCCACATCTGACCTCATATGACAGGTGCATAAAAATTATTAAAAATATTGTATAAAATTACCTTCATGGTATGTGTATAAGATATATATGAAACAAATGAATTTCATGTTTAGACTGGGGTCGCATTGCCAAGATAATGTGTATATGCGAAAATTCTGAAATCTGAAACTCTTATGGTCCCAGGCATTTCGGATAAGGGATACTCAACCCATATTAACTAAATTCCCAGATATTGTGTCCCCTAATGTCCTGGTCACAATAAATGCCTTTTTTTTTAAAGAAACATTTTGTAAACATGATCGCTTATGATAATGCCATGACATGCTGGCCACTGTGGACACCAATGCTTCACAGGATGTGTGTGTGTGTGTCCCTCAGCCAGAAGCTTTCTGATTCCCAAAGAGTCAGTCTCCATATTCGGAGATTTTGATGCTCTCTGAAGACGGACTGAGCCCTTTAATTTCTGCTCAGAGCTTTGTGCCCTTTCAGTTAGAGAATGTTTGCTTAGTGAAAGTACTAGCACCCAGGCTTTTCTTCCCAGTCAGGCTTTCCTGATTCAGGTCTCTAGTTTTTAAACATTTCATATCTCTGATTTCTCCCTTAGGGCTTTCCTGACACCTGCCCACATAGTCTTAAGAGCTAGGGATTGGCTGATGGGCCTTTTCTGTGGGTGAAAGTTGTAGTTAACCAGAGAAACCTGCTTAAGGCTGGTCCACCATCGTCCCTTTCTCAGAGGTTAGCAGGCTGTTATTTATCCGTCTAGATGTTTCCCTACACATTAATACGCACTTGTGTAAAAGACACACAGAAATGAGATCGCACTTCAAAAGAACCGTCTGAGATTCATGCTTATTTCCCTACTTGTGCTATCTGTCCCTTTGGGATCCTGTAGTGTTACACAGCCTGCCCATTTACCTAATGATATATATGGACCATCTTCCCATGTCAGTACATGGATCTGTGCTTAATTCATTTGAATATTCTTCTGTAGTGTGCATACATAATTTACATTATTTCCCTATTGAGGAATATGTAGGTGTTTCTGGTTTTTCAGTATTACAAACACCACTGCAGTGAAGATCTTATATTCATGTTCACATGTGTAGGTATTCCTGTAAGGTACCGTACTAGCTGTTCAGGTACGTCACATTTATGAAATTCTTAACGAGAGCCTGTGAAGACTATGGATAATTTACCACATTCCATCGATGAGAAAAAGAGGCTAAGAGCTTACATGTCTTGCCAGAGGTCTCACAACTTGTAAATGGTGGAGCCTTATTGAAGTAGAGATCTGTCTAACAACAGAACTCATGTATTTTCTCTGATATCACAGTTGTAAACTGTGTGTTTATAAATTATTTTTTCTTTTTCTTAGATGATTTCACAAAAGTTCATCTTCATTGCAGATACTTGCTTTTCTTTCTAGGTCGCGTCTCCCGCTTCATCCTCCAGACCATCCCGGAAGATCTAATAAGATTCCATCTGGGAAATCACTAGGAGCTCTTAGAAGGGAAAGAAGGAAGAATATGTAAGTCAAAGGAATTGTTTCATCTGTCACAGCATAAAAATAATAGAATACTATGTGCATCTTAATCTTACTAGGCCTCCCTGCTTCATTTTACACTATAGATTGTCTCTTACCCTTCTTGAATCTCTCAACTACTTTGGCTTCCAAAATAACATTGTCTTAATTCTCCTATGGGTACTCTTTAACATTTTGTTTCATCTGTGCACTCTTTCTCTGCTCACCCTTTAAATATTTTTCTTCCTTAGGTTTTCCAGAATTTCATACTTGAAATTTTTCCTCTGTTCTCCCCAAATGATTGTGTTGGCTCTCATAGCATCCACTGCCAGCTATGTGACAGTTACTCTCAGACCTCCATTTCTGACTCTGACTTTTCACCTGAGCTTTCAAGTCCTATGTTTAACTGCTCACCTCACATGCAGTGGGTTCAGTACTGAACTTCTTTCCCCTCTAATCCATTTCTTCCTTCTGTAGATGCAGTCTCATTTGCTGATAATACCTAATCACCCATCCTCAAAACCTGGGAGTCATCACTGACTTCTCCCTCACCAGTTTTTCACCTCCTCCAGCAAGCAGTCACCATGGTGTTATGTACCAGTTCTTGTCTGTTCCCAAAATATTCTGTGTCTGTAACTGTCATTATATTAACCTTGCTGTTTTATAATTGTCACTTTAGATATTTGAATCCCTAGCACCCACCATATTACCTGTCCCGAAGTAGATATGCAATAATGTATAATGACTAACGGAATAGATTAATGAATGGATGAATTACCTATGTTCTATCATTTCATTGCAGATTCCAAACTAACCCTTAAAAATCAGTGCTTTTATTAATTCATTAATTACTCAGGCTTGAAATTGCAGAGCCCACTTTGACTCCTTGGTCTCCTTCAGTTACTGTGTTCTTCAATATAAGTTCTGTATTCTTCACTTTCTCTTTAACTGTCATCACCCTAGGTCAGGCCTAGGGTGCCTATCTGGACTTACACAAGAACCTTTACTATTACACATTTCGTCATTCCTCCTGCTCACGAGTCTTGAATTTCAACTCCACTCCCTTTTATAGTTTTTTCCCCATTTAAAATTCCTTTCTCTAAAATTACATTCCTATCTTTTGAGTGACATCAAAAAAACTAATTTATGGGCAGGTCTGATAAGTGGTTGTGTGGGGTGAGAGTAGTAGGTGGTAGTGAGGATCAGAGAGAGGGGACGGAGGCAAAAAATCACTTATAAAGGGTCCCGAAATAGGATTTGAAATCTAAATTCCAAGAGATTTAGAGTGTGTTGTGTTCTGATGGGCCTATATGAAGCATAGTTTAAGGTTGCCATAAAAAACAACCAAGTAAAATACTTTATATATTACAGTGGTTGGAATAAAAACAGGGTTGAATGAGTTCCAGAAAGCAGGGTTCTCAAACTCGTGGACAACAATCTGCTGAAGAAGACAACTTCAAAAAACCAACTAGAAGCAACATGCAGAGAAGTAAGATGAGAGGGGCATCCTCAGGAAAGAAGACAGCTGGTCCGCAGCAGAAAAATCTTGAGCCAGCTCTCCCAGGAAGATGGGGGGGTCGCTCTGCGGAGAACCCCGCTTCAGGATCCGTGAGGAAGACAAGAAAGAACAAGCAGAAGACTCCTGGAAATGGAGATGGTGGCAGTACCAGCGAAGCACCTCAGCCCCCTCGGAAGAAAAGGGCCCGGGCAGATCCCACCGTTGAAAGTGAAGAGGCATTTAAGAATAGAATGGAAGTTAAAGTGAAGATTCCAGAAGAGTTAAAACCATGGCTTGTTGAGGACTGGGACTTAGTTACCAGGCAGAAGCAGCTGTTCCAACTTCCTGCTAAGAAAAATGTCGATGCTATTCTAGAAGAGTATGCAAATTGCAAGAAGTCGCAGGGCAATGTCGATAACAAGGAATATGCAGTTAACGAAGTCGTGGCAGGAATAAAAGAATATTTCAACGTGATGTTAGGCACCCAGCTGCTCTACAAGTTTGAGAGGCCCCAGTATGCTGAAATCCTCTTGGCTCACCCTGATGCGCCGATGTCCCAGGTTTATGGAGCGCCACACCTACTGAGATTATTCGTAAGAATCGGAGCAATGTTGGCCTATACGCCCCTTGATGAGAAGAGCCTTGCATTATTGTTGGGCTATTTGCATGATTTCCTAAAATATCTGGCAAAGAATTCTGCGTCTCTGTTTACTGCCAGTGATTACAAAGTGGCTTCTGCTGAGTACCACCGCAAAGCCCTGTGAGGGTCTACTGACCACTCACTGTTACCTGTCTGGTATCTGTAAACACTTTTTGTTCTTAGTCCTTTTCTTGTATAATTGATGTTCTTTAAAATTGTTAATGTATAACAGGGCTTATGTTTCAGTTTGTTTTCTGTTCTGTTTTAAACAGAAAATAAAAGGAGTGACGCTCCTTTTCTCATTTCAAAGTTGCTACCAGTGTATGCAGTAATTAGACAAAGACGAAACATTCAGTAGAACATTTTATTGCATAGTTGACAACATTGCTTGAATGCTGGTGGTTCTATCCCTTTGACACTACACAATTTTCTAATATGTGTTAATGCTACGTGACAAAACGCCCTGATTCCTAGTGCCAAAGGTTCAACTTAATGTATATACCTGAAAACCCATGCATTTGTGCTCTTTTTTTTTTATGGTGCTTGAAGTAAAACAGCCCATCCTCTGCAAGTCCATCTATGTTGTTCCTTAGGCATTCTATCTTCGCTCAAATTGTTGAAGGATGGTGATTTGTTTCATGGTTTTTGTATTTGAGTCTAATGCACGTTCTAACATGATAGAGGCAATGCATTATTGTGTAGCCACGGTTTTCTCGAAAAGTTGATATTTTAGGAATTGTATTTCAGATCTTAAATAAAATTTGTTTCTAAATTTCAAAGCAAATAATTTACAGTGTGCCTTTCATGTTATTGAGGGGGCAAACTCAGGAAAGATCTACGTAGTATAAAAGAGTTCTGACTGCAAGTGAAAGAATTCCTTTTCCTGTTGCGTATGGCAGCCAGGAGTTATGCCCCGCCAGGCCGGTTCCCCTCCTGTCTCCTCAGTGCAGCTTGTCACAGTGAATTGCTTTCTAGTGCTGCTTGTAAGAGCCAGTTTTACTCCTGATGCTCCATGACCCTGTGAGTTTGGCTGGTATAGTGGGGCCTTTAGTGGGTACTATAACAGTCCCTTATACTTATGCATAGCTTTTCTCTTTCCCACCAAAGGAGGCATGGGTAGTCACCTTAGGTATTACATCTATCAGAAATACTTGTACATTTTTGGCCAAGGACGGAAGACATCCCTAGGTCCAGCAGATGTCATATTCTCTCTGTTTTTATAATCTCTTGGAGGTAACATTGGGAATCTTGGAGTAGGGGGATCCATGGAGAGGGATGATGTTGGATGCCAATGCTTATAACTCCATCCTACATGGAAATTTCCCAGTTAAACCAAGTTATTTTTCATGACAGTGTTTTCTGTGTCTTTAGCAAAAAAAAAAAAAAAGTATAGAAATTTTGGGAAATATAGTAAGGACAAATATGGAAATATGAATTATATAATCCTATTGGATCTGTCAGGGTCCCAGCAAGAAATAAATGAGACTCAAAATGGATGATTTGAGGAGTTTAATTAAAGAATGTTTTCCCAGGTTGTCAGCAGAGGGGTAGGGTCATCGTGTGTATTAGTCAGCTTGGGCTGCCGTAACAAAGTACCATAGACTGGGTGGCTTAAACAACAGAAATTTATTTTCCCACAGTTTGAGAGGGTAGAAGTCAGATCAAGATGTTGGCAGAGAGAGTGGAGGGCCTAGATATAGACCCACATATATTTGGTCAATTAATTTTTGAAAAAGGTACAAAGGCAATTCGGGGTCAAAAATTTAAAAAAAAAAAAAAGGTGTTGGCAGAGTTGGTTTCCAAAGGCCTCTCTCTTTGGCTTGTACATGGCCGTCTCCTTCCTATGTCTTCACATGGTCTTTTCCTCCATACCTGTCTGTATCCTGATTTCTTCTTATAAAGACACCAGTCATTGGATTAGGACCCATACCAATGACTTCATTTTAACTTAAAGACTCTATTTCCAAATACAGTCACATTCTGAGGTACTGAGGGTTAGGACTTCAACATATGAATTTGGGGGAGGGGCACAATTCGGGCCATAACTTGGTGTTACTACCCCTGGACAATGAGGAAAAGTGGTGGGAAGTGGGGAAGGGGAGGGAGGGTTACTGGAATTGGTATACAGCTGTGTGGAAATGGCCACCTGACAGCAGCTGTGATCTTCAGGATGCAGTCAGCTCACCGCAAGACCCTGAAAAGAGAGAAGATGGAATGAGGGGGAATGAATACCTGACCTCACTTTCTTCCCTTATATTTCCTACCGGGTATTTCCCTTTGGCCAAACTGGAAGCCAGAGGGCAAGGAAAACCTTTGATGTAGTCTGTATCAGTAAGCCTGGGGGACACAGCAGGGAGGAAAGTTGATGGGGGGGGGTGTGAGGGGGAAACAAATGGGAGATGTCTAGCACACACATACCTGAAATAACCGTAGTTAATACTTTGCCATATATTCTTGGAATTATACATATGTATATATATTTGTAATAAAGATCACAAACTTTTTTCTTTTTTTAAAAAAAATTGGGATCAGATTATATGTATGGTTCTCTAAGTATATTTATCCCCAAACTGATATACAAAAGAAATTCAAGCCTAATAAAACCAGTTTATTTTTAAGTGACTTAAAATGTGAAAATAGGAAAATTCTGAAAAAGAAAATTAAGGAGGAGTTGTCACATAGTAAAGTTTGTTATAAAATGGTACTCTTTAAAAGCTTATTTGGGACACCAAAATACATCAGAAGAACTGGATGGAAATATCTGTGTATGTGTATATGTATTTAATTTATTACATATGTTAGAGGAAACATTCAAATTAATAATAAAAGAAAAGGTAATCAAAAAATGGGGGGCCGGGCGCGGTGGCTCACGCCTGTAATCCTAGCACTCTGGGAGGCCGAGGCGGAAGGATCGCTCGAGGTCAGGAGTTCGAGACCAGCCTGAGCAGGAGCGAGACCCCGTCTCTACTAAAAATAGAAAGAAATTAGCCAAACAACTAAAAACAGAAAAAATTAGCCGGGCATGGTGGCGCGTGCCTGTAGTCCCAGCTACTCGGGAGGCTGAGGCAGGAGGATCGCTTTAGCCCAGGAGTTGGAGGTTGCTGTGAGCTAGGCTGACGCCACGGCACTCTAGCCCGGGCAACAGAGCCAGACTATGTTTCAAAAAAAAAAAAAAGATACCATTAAAAATTGAAGAGCTCTCTTCTTTTCTCTTCCAGTCTCTTTTTTCTTTCTTGATTTTTTTCCTTTCTAATTCATGAATTCATTATGGAGGTAATACTTAGGTGAGCTTTTCCTAGAATCAAATGAGATGATATATTTAGAAGTGCATCATTAACTGTGAACTATAATAATAACAATGATTAATAGTTTGCTTGCTTATATAAATACCAATCAGAAGTATATATGTATTTTTATAAAATGTAAAAATCTGTATAAGAAAGAGTATAGAAGTCAGAGCTATTCTAAATTTTGTTTAAAAAATATAAAGTTAGATGGTAGTAATATTCTCCAGGGATTAGGGGGGTGGAGGGGTAAACTCACAACTAATGGACGAGGTGAGCATTGTAGGGGGGAAGGGCATGCCTCTAATCCTCGCTTGGGTGAGGCAAAGACATAAAATGTAACCAAAATGTTTGTACCCTCATAATATCCTGAAATAAAAATCAAAAAAATTATATCAATTTGGATTTTATATTATATCTAGAATTAATTTAAAAGGGTTTTTCAAAAAAAAAAAAAAAGAAGAAAGGGATTTTGATAATCCCATGCATCCTATTGATTACTGACCCTAATTATCAGATCTCTAACTCTGGTGCTTAGCACATAGACATTGCTCAATAAGTGTGTATTCAATGAAGACAGTACTTCTTGGACTTTGTCTTTTAGCGAATACTTCATTTAGGTAAGCACGTTTCTGGTGTCAGATGGCTTAAATGATTCAAGTTTTGCATTAGTGATTGGTGGGTGACCAGATGGGCAGGCTTAGGACCCCTCATCCTTGTATCCTCTGTGGGATCTAAGGCCTAGCCAGCTAGATGAGTTAAAGACTTCCTATCCCCTTCAGAGGACAGTTGCAAAATAGCTCATGATACTCATGAAACACTCCAAAAGAAGATAAGGATTTGCTATTGAAACATTGAATAGGAGGCCTACCAAACAGATACGGATCTTAGTTCACACGCTCGAGTGTAAAAGCAATATCACATTTTCAAATTGCCTTTAAATGAATAGAAATGTGATAACCAACCCTAGCATGCTGGTGGGAAATCCACATCAGTTATTACTGGGGATTCCCCATGTCCATTAGGTGTACAAACATCCTATGGTCTTATCTAGCACCGAAACCTGAGGAGATCCTCGCTGTCATCAGCTGTCTGTCCATACTGGTTAGGGATGAGATGTTCATTTACTGAACTGGCATGGGCTCTTCAGAGCCCTTGTCCCTGCTGCTTCCATTCAACCCTCTGGGTAGGGGAATCTTTGGCAAGACTAGGTGCCCAGCTTCCTTAGGCCCATCACAGAGTCTTCCTTGGGTCCTGATGTGCAGAAATTCTCATGTCTCTATTACTGAAAGGACCTATAAACCCTGAACTCTCTTCTCTTGCTGCCCTCAAATGCCCTCCATTCCCATCCAGGGACATCTGGCTTGATTTCCTCAATGAACATAATCCTTTTCAAAATATAGGAAAAGACACTGGTTTCAAGCAGCTTCTACTTCAGCTCTGCCACAAACCTCCCTCTCTTTGATGTCTGCTGGAAATGGGAGAAGAAAAGGTCATGGTCATCTAAGAATATAATATATATGTTAATATTT